AGCTACTTTAAAGCCTAGTAACATGCAGATTATCCAGTTCTCCCAATGTGAACCCTTCTGTGATGATATTCTGAAATCAATCAATAAAGAAATAAATATAAAAAATTATATATTTTCTCTCCAGATCAGTCCCAAAGCCCTTCACAATTATGTATCATCCACCTGTTTCTGAGGTTAGAATTTAGAGTCCTCTTTCCAAGATTTCTCAAACATATTTCCCTCAGTTTTTCATTTTTGTTTTTATATATTTCCAACCAAAACTGCTCTTAACTAAGTCAAACAAGACCCAAATATGGTATACACGTATATGTGTATGTATACTTATATGTATATATAAGGTGCTAACAGAAAATCTTACTATCCAAAAGTAGCTGAAGTGGGTGGGATGTGAACTAAACAAAATCATCCCATGCCCTCTGCAAAGTGTGCTCATCAGTTTGTCACACTTTCTATTCCTGTCAGGGTATAAAATTTATGTTTGCCAAGATAAGCTCCTTTTTTTGTGTGTGTGTTTTTTGTTTGTTTGGTTGTTTGTTTGGTTGTTTGTTTGTTTGGTTGATTTGGTTTGTTTTTAACAGAAAAACTTGCTTTTTCTCAAGTTTCCTAAGGGGAAACAAAACTGAATGTTTTATAGAAATGTGAACTACTTTGGTCTCTTAATAGGAATATAGTGTAACATAAAAGCAAATGTCCTCAGATTGTTTGAAAAGGCCTGTCAGGACAGAAGAAAATAACAGATAAACTGGACTGTTTTCAAACTTCAGTCTTTGGACTGGTTTCCTTTAACAGTTCTGTTAATAATACTGGTATGATATTCCAAATATGTTCCAAACATGCCCTAGAGAGGATCATATTAGAAAGCATATATCATTGCACAGAAGAATCATGAACAGGCTCACCCTGAAGAATGATTATCTAAAGAACAAAGACAGAAAAGTCAAGGTCACTTGGAGTGAATAACAAGATCTGCTACATGTTGTGGGCTCCTCAGTTTTGAACATTTGAAGAAAAAGAAGAGATGCACACATTTACTAAAACAAAACATATGCAAGCTCCCAATAAGACCTATCATAAATAAATAAATAAATAAAAATAAAAACTGTGGTACTTAAAAAAAATATTCCTACAAAGCTAACGTTTATATTATTACAACAAGGCATATGTCAGAGAGATTACCTGGAAAACAACTCGAAAACAATATTCCCAGAAGATAAATTTAAAGAGAATTAATTCACCTTCTAGGATGGCCTTAAAAATAAAGCTTTGTGTTTTTTGTTTTTTGTTTTATTTTTTTGGACAATAGAATGTCTATCTAATATGAAAATGCTACAAAGTAGTTGGCTTCTTCAGCTTAAGTAATGAGGGCTGTAATCTGTAAGGGCACTAAATTCACATCAAAAAATACTGAAGGGAAAGAACAGTTTAAACTGAAACAGAAATAAAGTTGAATAGACTACTAGTTATTTAGAAAATCATACGAAAATGACCCTGAAGAACTGGGGCTCCCAAGAAGCACTCCCAAACAAGTTGTTGGGAAACAAAAAAACAAAATACTGACTTACACTGTATTTATGAAAGGCATTATCCAGCATGGTTTCCAGCAATATCAGAGGACAGCAGTCAAGAGCCCAGCAACTTACAGTATACCAAAATATATAAAAATATATTTTCTAAATATATTATATATTTATATATATTATAAATTTATATATATTATAAATATAAAAATATATTTTTATATTTAAAAATATAAATTCTCTAGGTTTTCTTCTTTTGCTTCTTTTGCTTTAAATATAGAATATGTGTTCAGGGCCACAGTTTTTGTTTGTTTGTTTGTTTGTTTGTTTTCTTTTCCCAATTCACCTTGCAAAGATATTTCTAAAGAAGATATTTGCAACAGAGAAATCTAATCTACACACATCTTCAAAAAGAGGAGGTGTGCAGGGGCTGCATAGTACTCCAAAATGTGAGTTACTTTTGCTCCATTTCATGAACTTAATGTTTCACTTTAAATTGCAGTGTTCATTTTCTATCAAAGTAAATATGGGTACCACAGCCTTTCAGGACTACAACAGTCTGGTCTTTCATTATTTCTAATTAGGGAGTTTTTTTACTTTCATGCCTGCCCATAACTTCTATTACTGTTAATAAGAATTCAGTTTGTGCATTGATCTGAGAACAGACCCCTCAGATATCGTGTAAATAGCTTTACAGTTGACTGGTCATTTCTGACCAACTGAGCAAACTGATATCCTCATGCACCACTACTTAGCAGAAGTTGTAGCTAGACTATAAAAAATTATGTCATGGATTCTAAGGGTTAGTGTAGGGGGAAATAAATAGCTTAGTTTAGTATAAAAGCAGCATGAAGGCATTAGTTCATTTCATCCTAAGTTAATGTTCACATTTAGCCCTCCTAAAGCTGTCAGATTTGAGAGACATTTCACCACCTCAGAAAACACAGAAAGCAGGATTCACTCCCAAAGACAAGCTATCTGTCTTTGGTAGGTTAATTATCTCCATCCATAAATAAGAAGAGAAAACAGTGGGAATAAATCTTCTCTGGGAAATATCTGGGTTTTTTCCCAGTATCAGTATAGAATGTATAGAATTCAATGACTAAAATCACGAGCTGAATCACACTCAGGCTATAAGCCACTGCAGGGGAAGCCTTGAGTTAAAAACTACAACTTTCTTTTGCATAGCGTATCTAAAAATGTATCAAGAAATATTATTATCCTTTTCTTACTTAAATTATACAAAATGAATATAAAATTGCATATCTGATTAAACAGATAATTTCTGAAACAACAAATGTTGGTTAAAAGACAGGTGATTAATGGAAGAATATGGTAACTAAACTGGAAATAATCATTTTAAGAAACTGTTGCTATTTTAAAAGCAGGTGGTTTATACAATATTAGCATAATTATTTATAGCTGTGGTGCCAGAAATCAGTGATTACTATGGAAAAAATCTGCATTTCCCTGCAGTAACCTTACAGGATTTCTCAATAATAAACTACTATGTTCTTTTTTCCAGGCAGTGTGGAGAAAGTCCCACAGCTGTAAATACTATTCTTTTTTATTAGCGTTATTATTTTGTTATTTCACAGATATAACACAACAGAAAACTGAGAAGCAGTTGCATAAACGCAATTCAAAAGTAGAAACAAAACAAAACAGTACAAAACAAAAACTCTAAGCTTGTGATCTGACTGCTCTATAATCTTGCTCATTATCACAAGCCTGGATGAACATATAAAGCTTACAGTGAAATCTGAGCCTACAAAAACATGAAGAAAAACAAATTTTGCTGACCTACAATGTGGGAAATACAATCTGTCCCATGTACAGCTGTTGAGATTATAAACAAGACCAATTCTAAACCTCCACTGAGGACATGACAGCAGAGATGAAGTAGCACTTTTATCTGTATTAAAAGTAATAAATAAACAATTTAAAGAGGAAAAATAAATTATCAGAGAGGAAAAAGGCTGTGAAATAATTTGTTTTCCTTCCTGAAAAGGCTAACTATTTGTGCATATGATATACAAATAAATTCCATTTTAATTCTCATGTGATAGATAGGTCCTATTGTTTTGTAATTAATTTATTTCTCACACCTTTCTTTTTTGACTCTGAGCAAACTTCATCAAAAGAGACTGTTACAAGAAACTCAAGCACTCTAAACCATAGTGAGAGTCTCAAAACAAACAGTGATTCCATGAAAATATCCCAGTGGGTGTTGAACAGACATTGGAGCTCTAAATAAAAAGGTGATAAAAACATACCTGTGATACAAATGTTCTTGACTTAAAAACAAACAAACAAACAAAACGCTGTGGAAATGCATTTTTCAGCACACAGTACCTAATTTTAAGTACTTTTCTTCCTCTCCTCAAGCTTTATGTTATTATGTCCTAAAGTTCATACTAAGTGGAATCTGTAATATATGTCTACATGTATATTCATACATACATGTTATTATGATTTTATCTCCTGTGTGGGATTCAAAGGAACTTCCATATGAATGCAATCCTTTTCTCCCTGTCATTCTCTTTCATTCAGTCACACAAAGAAATGAAGACCCAGTGAACTTACTCACCAGGTGGCTTTTTTCTTTACTTAGAGCAACAGCTATAGAGCTTTATTTAGTTTGGGCTTTCTCAAATACTAAACTTGTTAACACTCATCAAACACAAGAAAAATAAAATATCACATTTAATTTCTCTATCTATCTCTATGAAAGGGCTCTTCAAAGAAACAACATGTTCCTAACTAGACAGTAACAGGTACAGTGCAAAACATATTTACTAGACTTAAAATATCTGGAAAGGGCACTCAAATTGAAGTATAATCTTTTTGTTTGTTTTTTTTGGCATGTAACCGTCAATATATTCATAGGAAGAATTAGTACCCTACCCACCCTTTTACAACAAGTCTATCAAATAAAGAATGTTTACAAAAGACATAGACCTTGTTTTGGGAGAAAAGAAACCCATTTTACTCCAACCAAAGCAGAGTGGTGTGTACAGCTGGTAAATCTTCATTGCAAAATCAGCATCAAATTGCTAAGGCCACAAGCTACGTTAACACAAGTCACTCATTAATTTGATGGGTGAAGGTAAGATTTTCAAACAGCAGGCTTCTCATTCTAGTTTTTGTTTTAATCAGCTAAATAACGAGGTGGGGGTAGTGTGGCTTAACCAGGCCAAGAGAAGAAGAAAGCAGAATCATCTTAAAACACCAATCCTGGATTTAATAGCCTACAACAAAACACTAAGCAGGTCAGCTTCATGGTTCAGCAATTCCTAAAAGCCCTGTCTACTTCTCAACAGCTTATCTGCAGCCAGTGTGTAAGATCTACCAATGAGATCTGATTTACAGCACTAAAGGGCTTTGCTGCAAAAATGAAGGGCAGGACTGATACACTAATTTCTATATATTCTGTCTGTACACACACATATTAAAAAATAAAATAAATAAAAAAATCTCAGAAACTTTTTTAGCCTTTATGATAAGGATCTCTTTCATTGACATAAGGAGGTCACAGTGCCTGGAAAAATTTACATAGAACTCTGCATCAGTCTGGTTTGTTTTTTTTCTGGGTCAAATTCAGAGTTTATCTTGTTAAGCTATCTAATTGAACACAGCCCATGTGATACAACAGAACTAAGTGCATTAAATGAGGAGGCAGTGGTGGTGGTGGAGTATGTTTATTCTTTTTGGTGCTGGGTGGGTGCAACTTCCTGGAAATTCCTAAATTGCCTTTGGGTGGCTATTTTCATGGCTGGAGAAAAACATAAAAAATAAAAAAATCCAACTTCTGTAATACATTTTCTGTGCAAACACACACACACACACTTCAAAGTCAGTTTAGTCTGTTGTGATGATGAGATGGTATTATACCTCGAGCACAATGAACATGTCCTGATCCCTCTTTGCCTGGGGTAAATCTGGAATAATTTTATTGTTGTCAGATGAACAATGACAGATTTACATTGAGGTAACCAAGATCAAAATCAGACCCCAAATGTCAAGCAAGGTAAAACCACAAACAACATGATTTAAACCACAGTTGCAATAACCAGGGCCCTATGCAGATCTTAGTAAAGTGAATTATATATGATAACACTTACAAGTTTCCTAGTAATATTAGATTTGCCTTTTTACATAAATGCTTAAGTTATGATAAAAAACAGAACTATGTCAGTTCTTTTCAGTCTCAGCACATTTGCTATTAGCATAAGAAATGCTGCTTATGGCAGAGGCAGCCGTGCTTGAAATTTCTGAATTAATGGATTTGATTTCCTCTTGAGACAAACCATCAGCCTTTCAGTAATGGAAATAGATATAGTTGGTAAAACAAATAAAAAGCTGGCATGCAGATAAAATGGGTTTCAGTTTAAAATAGTAATGTTGTAATTGAAGTGAACAATTACAGGGTTGCTCCTAGGCACAAAAGAAATACCATGAAAATGAAGTAATGTTTTTGTTAAGTATAGTCATTTCATGAAAATGTAGAGCTGCAGATGTCATCGTCTGGAAAAAGGAAAACTATACTTACTCTCCTTTGCTGAGATTCTTTTATAACATTTTCCTGATTTTAATAATAATTACTAATATTAAACCTGGATTTTATATGGGGAAAGAGGAAAGAGAGAGGGAGAGCAAAAGCTATTTATCTGGTGCTAAGCCAAAAGTGCTTGCTTCCTTTTCAAGGGATTTTGGTTATCAAGGGTCAGAAGCTTTTAGTAAGAATTTTAGGAGAGCAGGGGGAGGGAAACAGTTTTCTGTTGGTAGAAGAAAGCCATCTTGTTTGCATTCTTTGTCAGGGCTGTGATACTAGACAGCACACGCAGGGAGGGAGGGATACTGGCAGTGTGGAGGGGCAGCTGTGAGATGGGGGACGGGCAGGAAACAGGCTCAACATCCGATCTCTTTACTGAAGACGTTTTCTCTAAGTGGGTCGAGCATCTGGCTGGCTTTCAGCTATGTACACTGCTGGAGAGAAGCAGAGACTTTCGGTGTTTGAGAGCTTTTCATGTTAATGTGTAATGGTAAAAGTAATGAAGCACGCTGAATGCCACCAGTGTAAGTGTCACCTCAAATCTGAAAGTGCATGCATTAACGCCATGCCAACAAAATATTCTGTCCTGTCCTGTGTTTCTTCTTGTTTCATTTTCATGACTGAGAATGTTCTCAACACAGTTCATTTTAGAGATTTATTAATTAACAGGTCATAATTAGTGACTTGACAAAGTGCACACGGCATGCCCATCTCCTTGAGATGGGCAAGCCATGCCTGGTACAAACAGTGCTGTCCACTGACAGTATCTATCCATACATTTGCATTTACAACACCATGTTGCCCAACACAAGACACCACTGGTGGCTCTGGAATGAACATGTTCTATGGCTGTGCAGTTCCATTGTTCCAGGAGCAAGTTTTCTTGCATTTTTGGTCTGCTGGTGTATTGGCAGGGTTAACTGTGGTGAGGTGTAGGGCAGCCTGGAGTCCCACAGTCACCTCTGTGCAGGGCTGGGTCTCTCCTTGAAGGCTGCAGCTGCCTCTTCCTCAGGAGCCTTTCGTGAGAAGATTCTAAATGCAATGTTTTGTTATCTTTCATTATTTAATTATATCAGCCTCCAGTGGCCTGTGTGGTATTTCATGCATCTAGGCAGAGCTCTGACACATAAATGAATTTTCTACAACTACTGTGTCAGGCATGTCTGTTCTGCAAGATATAATAGCAGCCTATTTACATATGTCACTCTAAAGTGCTCACGAGGAGATTTTACTGCTTTCTTCACACTCTTGCACTTATGTAAATACACCCACACAGTACAGGTGGATTTCTGAATCATCAAGTGTTTCTCTTCCATTAGGAGACAATTTTTGAAACAAATTAATACAAAGTGCATCATGGTTTAAATGTGTTTATTACTTTATTTGGTGTTTTAAAAGCTCTTCTGAAATGTTTTAAACAAGATGATGTTCATCCATAGAATTAAATACACACTTAATCTGTGGAGGAAATAAATGTCTGACATAAAGATTTAAATCTTTATTTTCCTCCCTTGACATAGTGGCTGGTGACACATAAATGTACTTTTTTTTTTTTTTTTTTGACAGAGTAATAAAAATCTCATTATCTCTGAATAGGCAGCAATTTCGTTATCTAATCTTTTTACCAAAAGGTTAGTTAATTAATCAGAAACAAATCCTGATTATTATTTCAATAAAATTAGAAAGACAAATCACCAGAGTACGGCTAAATAGGGCAGGCCTGTGGTTTAACCTGCCTCATTTACATCCAAGTACAATGATTGTCAGGAGCTCGCACTGAGCAAACAGCCCCGAGAACATAAGCCAGCAGATGGTTTTCTCTCGTCGCTAGCCTTTCCTCTCCTCTAATGCCTCTGATCCCATTACCTCACTGAATCCGTTGCCAGGGTAACTGTTAAATTGCTGTGAAAGGCATGGTAATAAAGTAACCTGTCACACTGGCAATAAAAGCAGCAGAATTTTCCTGTTCACTGAACTTTTCAGCTCATCAATACTCACTTTATGGAGAAATTCAGCACTACACACAGGTCAGCTGCAGGAATTGTTCCATGAGGCTTTTGAAAAGCAAACCAAAGTTCATGTAAACATAGGAAAGGTATAATTAAAGACAGGACTTGGAGATGCACAGAGAGCTAATACTTTGCTATTTACTGTAGGTTAGGAGGAGATTAGAGATATTCAGGCTTCTCCCTTTTCTAAGCATGGTACACAAATAAACTTTACTGCAGGCACGAAAGTGATTAATCCAAAATCATTTTGATAGTGTTTCAGACAATTACCTCCTTGCTTTTAGCAGCTCTATTTTGACCTATTTGCTAAAGGGGATTTTGGTATCACCATAATTTAACACCAGAAGGATTCACTTAAAAGTATTTTCCACCATTTGTCTACATTCCATTGTTTTACAGATTTTTGAAGCAAGCTTTATGTCTTTAACAGGTTTTTGCAATATGTGGCTGATTCCATTAATAAAACCTTAGTGAATGCAATCTCAGGAAGGAGGGGAAAATAATAATAATAAAAAAAAGACAGTCATTTACCACATCTGAAAACACTTTTTCCAGTTTTCTAATGTAATGTATCTTACTACATTTTAGATCCAAAAGAAGAAGAGGAGTTTCAAAAAGAAGAGGGGTTTCAGTGAGGGCTTTTGTTTGTGTGTTTTGTTTTTCTGTTTTGTTTTGTTTTTCCTAGAAATACATGATTAGAGTTTTTTCCATAGGGTACAAGAACTGTTTGCCACTGATCAGAGTAGCAAAAACATGCCATGTGGAAAGACCCTTCTGACTTCAATTAGGCTCACAAGAAACTGGAAGAACATGCATGAAAAACAGAGTGCATACCTAATCCTTGTTATTAGCCGTTTGCAAACTCTATACTTTCAGCCCCATTTGGTAATTCCATTAATTATACAACAGTAACCTTGGAATATATAGGAGTTTGCTTGTTGAGATAACTTCTTTCTCTCAATCTCCTTTAAAATTTGCAGACACTTACAGCTTGTTATGAAAAATCAAAAACATTTATTTGACTGACAGCAAACATGAACTACAGAGCCAATTCCAGTTACAGGCCATAGAAGAGATATGTCTTAAAATAGGAATCACAGTCTATAGTCCTGAGAGTAAGGATTTAAAGTAAGGTCAAGCAGCTGTGGTAAGGCCAGATTATATCATTTTGAATGAGGCCACATTTGCTGCTTTCCTAAAACTTCTCAGAACTCCAAGAGCTGTATGAGGCAGAAAGGACAGGAAGATAGTCTTAGATATTTTAGTGACTGTTTCTATAATGTCAGATTTCAGTTTCTTGTGTAGACCAGCCTTTCTCATAGTGCTGGAAATCTTCAGTAGAAATTTCTATGAGGAACAAGCCAACTGCACTGTAAATTCACACCCTTTATCAGAGATATGTTTATTAAATATAATATGGTCACATAATAAAATACGTATGGTGACATAAGATAAAAGAATTTATGCTGATCTCTAATCTAGAATTAAGCTGGATCATTTCTGAGTTTCAGAAAACTCTACATTTCTCTGATATCTGGCAGGTATAGCACCTCCAGTTATAGCTAAAATTGGAAATATGTCTTCAAACAAGCTTGCTCTTTCAAAAATTCTTGCTCTTTCCAGGTGATTAGTAGAGTTAGCAACATTCATACGAGATCTTCAGACCATTTGGCAAGTGTAGAAAGCCCAGCTAAGATACCCTGGGCAGAGTCTTTGCTTCTTAGTTTTTTGTCTTTTAAACCAGAAAATGTCAGGAAAGGAGATGTGTGGATTTGTGTTTTTAATATCTGCCATTGTTCTAATTTAAAATTTACTGTAAAATGTGTGCATATGGTATTGTTTGTGATTACACTTTCGCAGCATGCAGACATAAATGAGATGTTGACATAGATAAACTCCTTCCTTTTAAAAAGTGTGTGAATAGTCATGAGCAACATTTGCTAGCTCATTTTCCCGGCTCTGGTCTGAATGAGCAGTGCAGGGTGTCTGTGCTTGGTGTGAGCTTGCTCTGCCACTCCGTAAAAGCTCCAGGGTGAAGCAGCACAGTCTTCCAGTGGCAGCTCCTCACTCCAGCTTGCTTCTACCATCCCCTCAGATGCAAGTACCTGTGCAAAAAACATTAGAGTTCATGTTAGGCTTAATAATAAATGGCTAAATTCTTGGTTGACCATAGGGATATATCGACACACTGTGGATTTCCCTCACTGAAGCATGCAAAGTTACGGTGCCAGAAAGAAAAAATGTTGTCAGAAGAACATTAGACCTGTGGTCTTTGGGAGAGAAAGAAAGAGAAGTAACTGTGTCCCTTCTTCCATCAGGTGCTGTGTCCTTGCCATTTTCCTCCACACACTCTGGCTGGGCTAGTTATACAACATGTGGTTCCTTTCTCCTCCGATTAAACTCATCACCAAGTGTTGGAGCGCCCCCAGCATCAGCAGCACTGCAACCCCCATGCAGCTCTATTTGTCACTTATTAAGGATTGCAGGGGCCTCACGCTGGCTTTTTGCAGGTGTGGATCATGGCCTTTCAGTTTAATTAAAATAGACAAATGAAGGTGGAAATGGTACAGGCCTAGGTCCACCTGTGGATTTTCTAACTTCACTGACCAGAGTAAGTATCTGGCTGCCCTCAGTAGCCATCACACCAAAGCAGCTTGCTTTTTAAAAATAGCTGCACATTTAGTGATTCTGGTGAAGTCAGGACACACTTGCTTGGAAATTTTTGTCCCTTCTCTAGCTTGGTTACAAATTAAAACCACAGCTCTATCAGAAGCAAAAATCCACCTCCCCACTCTCCCATATGTAGTGTTTATTTATTTCACCTCTTTTATCAGCTTGAAATAGGATTATTTTCCTTATTCCATTTCTTTCTCTGAACATTTTTCACTGTCTGTCATAGTTGTTGGTAATGAAGTTCAAAGAAAAAAAAAAAAAGGCATAGAAGCAATTTTAAAACATATTGAACTTCTCTTTCACAGCACACTTTGTAGTGGGCCAAACTCAACTGAGAACCACAAACAGGGAGTAAAATAACACACTGTAGCAGATTTCAATGGAGTCATATTGATTTGTATCAGTCAACTAACCAAAATGCACCTATTAATCTTTGTGGAGTGAAAGAATTGGAAAGAGTGAAAGATCTGTCTCTCAGGATTACTATATGGTTTATTTGATCTTACCTATGCTCTTGATTGATCCTGCTAGCTTATATTGTATCCATATCTTATTCTAGGACAGTGGAAAAATGCAAAAGTACATCTTTCTGTTTTCTTTTGTAATGTCTTACATCATGCTCTCTGTATTGTCCCTTTATTCATTTACAAATTAAAAATTTACAGCTCTCATATCCAGCATGGGCAATTATGTATGAACATCAATCCAATCACTTACTCTGAAATAAAGGTTTATGATGCAAAGCAGTTTTTGTAGATCTTTATATTGCTAGAGACCAGAGTAGTGATGGGAGAGGGAACAACAAAACCCTACATCAACCCTGCATTCTTGATTTTGCTGCTGTTTTGAGCTGTGACTTCCTGCTCCCTAAAGACAAAAGATGCATCAAGCAGTGCCTAAACCGTATCCCCTTCAAACACTGGGAATGAGTATTTCAGCAAGTTTTAGCTTTCAGCAGCAACATATGTGGCAGCAGCTGTGCAGTCGTACTTCGAGACCATGGGTACTTTGGAATCCAGTAAGAAAACTGTGACTAGCATATAAAGAGCAGGAAGAGGGAAATTTTCTTCATTGAAAATTATGCTGAGACTTGAGAAGCTTAAAGGACTAACAAAACAGATGGCTTGATTCACGTGCATCTGATATTCTACTCTCCAAAATTTGAATTGATTTTTTAATATATGTGAAATAAAATATATATATATATAAATATACTTCTAAATATATATGAAAGATATTCTTATTAAAAATCATCCACAATTTTAGCTGAGTGGTGTGCATCAAAGTTTTGCACCAAAAGAACATGTCTTTGATCCCTGACTAGCTTCGTTTCGTCTCCCTCTACTCAAAATATTCTGTGTAATTTTGGTTTCTATATGTTATCAACAGAAAATTCATGGTCACAGATTGAAGATCAAAGATGAAATTTAATCTTCAGATTCGGCTGCTCACGCTTATAAACCACTCAAGCGCCACTCCTGCTCTCTGCGACAGCAGTAGAATCCTTGATTCAATTATAGGTTACAGTCAATGGGGATCATGCTTTAATCTGTGTACAAACAAAAGGATGAAACAGAAACATGTATCCATTCTAAGGATGATACTTTATTATAGTGCAATGTCAGGCAGCATTGCAATAATACAGTCTGGTTTCAGAAAATAGATGAGATTAAATTGTCTGCTAGGTTATGCCTGCCTGTTATGTACAGACTGGCACACATACTGCTCTGTTTCTCTGTCATTTATCTGGCTCTCACAAAGACTCTGATCCACTATATACCGTGTGATCACACAAATTGCAGTGAGTCTGAAGGATTCCCAGCATTATGCAGGATTAGACCATTATTCTAAACATGATAGGATTTTTCAAATACCATTGAGTTACTAGATGTTATTCAAGGGAGTAATTCCATTGAAATAAATGATATTTTTGCTCAAGTGTTAGCATGTTCACATATCAGGATGTCTGGAATCAGTTTCCACATTTGCCAGCATCTTTTTAACACTCAGTGTTAAGTGTTTTTTCCATGGTCAATTTAAAAGGAGAAGTAACTTTGAAGACAGCAGAGCAGTCCATGGTGATGACAGCCTGCCACCGTGTTGCAGTAAGACACTTTTATAAATCACACTGGCATTCCCTGAGCTCCATTATTATTATTCCAGTTTGGGAAAGACCTTAAACACAAGCTTAATTTGCAGACACGTTTCAAATAACATGGGATTTTGGCATGTGCTTAAGTGCTTCCACAAATTGATTAACTGAACAGTGATGGGAGGCAACAGCAGAGCAAAAGTCTGTTTCTGGGAGTAATGACTCTTCTCTGGGTAAATTCAGCACTTCTGGCGCTGCTGCATTGCTCCCACCTCCCTACAGATTTCCACCCCTTGGAGTCCAGTGGCCTGAATGCTGTGACAGGGGGCAGAAGGAGCAGCCAGGGATGTCTCCCTGCATCCTTCTTCCCCATCTTGCTCTCTTTGGCCACCTTATGCACCTGCCCCTCAGTTACAGAGGGAAGCCTGTCAACCTGCAACAGAGTTTTTCCTGTCAAAAGAACTAGGCTTATTTTAGTGATCCAGAGAAAAGTTGTGTTGTTGATGAATTGTTGAGCATTTTTCTCTCTCCCTCTCATATGCCGGTTCATTATGTCAAGTGAGGCAAAATGACTTGGCAGAACTGCGCAGCAAGATGAGAATTAGAGAAACATCTTTTGGGAAGGAGAGCAAATTATCTTGGCACCATGTGAGAGTACCTAACTGTTCACTAAATTCTCATATCATCTATAAACCACCAGTAACCCACTTGTCAACTACTGGAATAATTTTAACATACTTCATTAAAAAAAAAAAAAAAAAAAAAAAAAAAAAAAAAAAAAGTATTACTTTGATATCTAATGTGATTAAGGTTCTAAGCTTGCACTTTGTGAAATTTCTGTGGTTCTTTTTTTTTCATTTCCTTTGAACAGCAGTTGATAAAAAATATAAATTTAAACAGATTAATTCAAAATATACTGGAATGAGCTATAGGAGAAAAAAATAGGAAATATCCTCTGCATAATGATGTTTCACTTAGGAAAAAGAACCTTTCACAAGTTGCCCTGCAGAAGAAGCTCCTATGGGTCTCTCAAGTTACACACATCTTTCATGCCTAGAGATGACTAATGGAAAGGTATGTGAAAAAACAAATGGCTTGCTTCCCGCTGGTATGTTTAGAGCAGGTTTTCAAGTCTTGCTTACAGTGGGTGCCATTTAAAAACCATCATTTTTCAACAGGTACCACACAGTTACCTCAGTTGTTTCCTGCAAGGCTATGGTACTTCAGACACAGCTCAATGACAGCACTTGGCAAACGCTGGCTTTTAAGTGGCAACCAGCATAATTACAATATTCATGAACGACGGGTGAGCAGTGCTGACTGAAAACGACCCAGGTATCACATCTCATAGGCTGGTGCCATGCCTGCTTTCTCACACCACACTGCCAATGCCGCTTGGTCCCAAGCAGCAGGACGCCCTCTCCCCAGCCTTGCAGCAGAAGCTGTCACAGTTGTCAAACTTTGCAGTGGGTTTTATAATGACATGGTTTTGAAAGGACAACCATGAGAGGTCAGCAAGTATGTTTTCATGCTTAACATAAAGGTGCGACTCATCTAATCTGCTCTAATTCAGTGCATGGTTTTCCCTGGTGTGATGGAGATCAAGAAATTAGTAGGTTCTCAAAGAAGGCATGAATTTGGGTGGATGTAGGTCAGGCTATGAATGTCATAAAGCAACTAACTTTATAACAACACACATTCATATTCTTTCTTTAAGAGAAGGAATTAATTCACTTTAAGAGGTACAATTCACATTTGAGCTAAAATTCATATATCGGAGTGATTTTGTCATACAAGCTAAAATTTTACACTGACATTCATAAAAAATAATTGTATTGAAAATAACTTTATACAATTTTTCAATTTGCAAAGACAAATTCTGGATGCCAGATTTAATGTTATCTGTGCATTAATGTTATCATATTTTCATCATCTGTCATGAACATTTCTATGCTCCAAGGGAGGGGGGGGAACAAAATAAAACAAAACAAACAAACAAACAAAAGAGATGCCAGTTCTAGTTTGTTAATGAAGAGTTTTCTTTTTGTTAAAGGTCTTAATTACAACTACATAGACCAGCTGGACCAGCTGAAATTCAGCTCTCATTCTTTGGCGATGCAGTGAATATAGCAGTGTGTTATATTAATGTTCAGTGTGTAAGTAGTGGTTCATCCGAATAGTTTCATTGAAAGCAATGCACCTAACTTACATGAGTAAGGTCTTACTAGACTGTAATATATTTATACTCATGCTGAAACCATGACTTCTTGTTCACTGCTACTTAGTTTATCTGCTACTTATTAATCACTGGCATCATCCCTCAGTTTCACTGAGGCATATCCAAAACAGGGAAATGAAGCACTCTCTGTGATATGGAGGACTCTAAATAGTCACTTAAATGCAAATAGTGGAAGTCTGCTGAACCAAAGACAATTAACTGAGAAGTAAACTCATTGTTCCATCTCTAAGTCATTATTTCTGTGGTAGTAGAGAAAATGAAAACTCAAATATTTATGTGTCCTAATACCATACACTCCAGTGTATTCCTTCTTGCTCCTCCTGACATTTAGCAAGGCAAACTGGTGTAAGAAAAGTAGTGTTTCTTCAAGGTTGTTGATGTATTAGTTTATGGATAACTAGCAGAAGTTCCCTTTCTGCAAAGATTGTATTGCTCATCTACATTTGGCCATGTTTGTCAGGTGTTCCTCATAAAGAAGGGGCAGGAATGTTTTTTAAATGCTTACTTTCTCCTCTGATTTACCCAAGTTGCTGCCTGAAGTAAAATTCTGCCCTGTTGATACATATTTGGTAGTCCCAAATACATGTTAACCAGTTTTGTTAGTGCCCAGTATGTCCTGACTGTGCATGAGGGCAAAAACTATCATTAAACCTGAAGTCATAGTCCTCAGATGTGTGCTGTCATCATAACCATTTGTTTACCTATATATATATATATGTTTATATATATATATATATATATATATATATATATGTCCAAGAACAGCCACAGGGAATTCCTCTAGCATATGGCCAGCCCCTTCAATGGCAGCTAGCGTGCCACCACCTTTGACATCATTAACAGTAAAGGAAAATATGACCACCAAACAACACAATTAACCTTAAGGTTTTTAAAAAATATTTTGGCTGTAGTACACTTGTTTCCCTCAGAGAAAAGCATAAAATTATCAGAATAAGCTTTTTCTCTACTATTCCAATACAGAAGACCACTGTGAGAGTCCTGAACAGCGTAACAGCAAAATGGTGGAACCTAATTTTGTCTTAGATTTTTGTGGTCCACTTGTCTCCATTAACTATATCTTTGTCTACTTCTGTTCATTAAAACAAAAAATAATAATAAAAAAAAAAAAAAGAGGAAAGGAGAAGAAAAAAGAGACAAGCGTACAGAAACAGTTGACAAATGCTAATTAAGGCAATAGAAACCTAACTACTGGTATTCAGTTTCCTTTTCAGAACAGGTCATGAAAAACTGGACTGATTGGGGAAACATACATATACAGTTACTTTGTTGTTACATTTTACTTTCTGTGTTATCATAACATTTTAACTTTATGCTTATTAGACATATCATATTTAATTACATTATTATGTCATGTTAATTAAATAAATAAATAGATCTCCCAACAGCCACCAACCAAAAACAAAGTAGCTGTTCTAGCAATGCCTGCAACCAACTAATTACATCAATTTACCAGGATGCAAGACTAAAATTAGACAAAATAGGAGAATTGATTAAAAATAATCGGTATAAAATCACCTAAAACAAAAGAAAAAATAAAGTACAGACAGGCAATATATACAAATAGGAGAGGAAATTTGGGACTTAGCAATTTAATAAACGTTTTTAAGCTTTGCTGCTAATTCCAATGGTTACTCTGACAGTATATCTGAAATAATTAAATACTGTTTCTGCTGTTCTGTTGACAAAGAACTGGAAGTTATTCCTATAGTACCTGAATTTGATCTCTGTAGGAAGTTCCAAAAAATAAAGCTTATTTACAGCAGGCAAATGTCTCCCCCCACATTTTGCAGCCTTGAGAAAATAATAATAATAATAATAATAATAATAATAATAATAATAATAATAATAATAATAATAATAATAATAATAAAGGCTCCTTATAGGAGCAATGCTGCTATCATGCTGGGTCATGAAACTAATTATGTTTTGTGATGCTGGAAATTCTCCATTTCTGTGTGAAGAGTCACTGCTGCATGATAGATGAATGTTGGAAAGGCAGTACATTGTGCTCTTTCATCTCTGTCACTGCATATTTATTCTGACTCTGCTTCTAAATTATTCATTTTCTTTAAGCAATCAATATTAATAATCTGATTTGCTCCTTGGCATTTTTAGTCACACTTCTGTTTAACTGAGTGTAAATAAAGGTCACTTGGAGGCTTCCTGCTGCTGTTCTGAAGGTCTTTGCCTAATTAATTCCCAACACTTTTTTTTTCCTGTGACTCTGATTAGCAGTTGCAATCAAGTTCAGCAATTAGCTGCCTCCTTGCACAGTGATTTGCTCGCTCCGCCTACACGTATAAAGCTACATTTAGTCGCTACTCAACAAAGGCATAAGGAGGAATTTAAATTCATTTGTTTTGTGTTCCCTGACCATGCAGAACAGATCAGATTTGTCACTGCTTGCACATAACCTTTGCTCATCTATATCATACCTACTAATCATCCCTGATCCCCCCAACAGACTTCATAAACATAATGAATGGCCTCTCCAACAACCTGCTTGTGATATGTCTAATCTCAGCCTCTTGTATATAGTGTTCAACAAGGAGCTACAGCTCATCAAATCAAATTCTTAGTTATTTAAATGTTTCTGTGGTTTAGCTCACATCAAATTACTTTTAAAAAGGAGCCTACTTCACATTTAATTGATTTATCTTTGTCTGCAAGGGGCTGAGAGACAAGTCTTGTGTGTAAACACTTCTAGAAATCTGATTTGAATTCAAAAGACTGACAACATATACATGCTAGAGCTTGAGCTTGTGTGTTCCTAGCACACAAAATTGGAAATTTCAGTACTACATTTATTATTAAGGAGGAGGGATTAAATTAGGAGGGATGTCAAATTTGTGTTTGAGACTGTTAATGGGTGTCAATCTACTCTAGGTACTCTTCAGAACTCTGTATTCAAAGAACAAGGAACAAAAAATGAAGGATTGCACTAAACACTACAGAAATATCATGAGCATTTCTATATGCATCCCTAATTAGTCTGAGAGTTCCCCATTGTTATTATTGTACACTGGGTACCAATTTCCAGGCAAAAATGTTTTATGAAATATTTCCAAAAACAAACTAACAAAAAAAAAACAAACAACAACTCAGTAACAGGCAAATAAACAACAAACCAACAACCAAAAAACAAACAAACAACAAAACAAAAACAAAAACACATTCCAAAACCACCACTACCACCACCACCACCACCAGAACATTTTTATTTTCAGGGATGTTTATAAATTGGTTGATTCCAGTTCTTCTAACTCAAACAGAGATTCGATGTGGATAGTTGCATCACTTCTGACAGAGCTGTTTCCATTATCTGAACAGAAAATTAACAAGTGCACACAGGAGAAATTCCCCTTTAGTTAATGTCTATCTCAATGTATTTACCATTTTTGAATGATCTACTTGCTGGTATTAAAAAAAGTTTCAGAACTGTATCTGTAAGAAAGATTACCATGATAAAACTTGCGTCCACAATATTTTTCATTTATTTATTTGTGTGTGTGTGTGTGTGTGTGTGTGTACTGCAGTTCTGGATAAATAAGTAAACATTAGGATTGACAAACACCATCAGAATAGAATGGATATTTCTGCATATTTCTCTTTAGGACATAGGCAGACTTCAGAAGAAGAAAACAGTAGGTCTAAACTACCACATACTTGGGATTGCGTAAGAACTATCACCTACCTTTCACAACTGACTGCAAAAATTTAAATTTTTCCATTTCAATTTGACCTGAGCTTGGGTGGTAGGAGTGGTGTGTCCATATGTGGATATAAGTGCCCTGAAAAATACATCAAAATTTAACCTGGTTACACTGCAATTACAATTTGCTAAACATATAAAGATAGTTCCTTGAACCTGAACACATTTCTCCTGCTAGCACCTATAGAACTGCTCTTCTGACAGAAGCAAGCCAGAGCATGCATGCCCCGAACAAGCAAATTTTCGTTTTCCTTTCTGTTCTGGCAAGTGTGTTCGTTTAATCTCACAGGGGATCTGACAGCTTTCCCTAGCTCCTAAAGCAATACTTTAGCACTCATTGAAAATTGCTGTAAGCGAAAAGCAGCAAAGCTGACTGGCGTTTGCATGCAGAGACGGGCAACCAGGACACTAAGTGCAGGCAGTCTACTTCCACAAAGTGCAGGGCACAAAATCAAGGAAGGCTAGAAGCAACTGTTCAATCTTGGACTGACTACTTAATGAACATAAGCACACAATATAGACCATTTGTTGTCTAGATGATATCATTTTGAATTATTATATAAGCCATCCAGTGCTTTGAAATGTAAGCATGTACACATATCAAAGTACTTTTAGCTGCAGTGGCTTTGGGTTGTAAAAATCACACAGTCCAAACAGATCACTCATTCCTAGCATGGCAACTTTCCAGGTTTGTTTTCATCCCAAAAGTGAGCATCTTGGAACATCACAAAAATAACAAGAACAATAATAAGAAGAAATAAAATAATAAATAAAATAAAATAAAATAAAATAAAATAAAATAAATAAAATAAAATAAATAAAATAAAATAAAATAAAATAAAATAAAATAAAATAAAATAAAATAAAATAAAATTAAAATATTGAGCTATTTGAGATTTGGGTCGATGAAATATATTTTTCTCACTGTAAAAATAAAATATTTTAAAAATAAGAAAAAAGAAAAAAGCTTTTCTTGGGGAGATAAATGAAGAAATTTATGAATGAAGAGTATGTGCTTAAAGAAGTATGAAAGAAATCCAAATCTATAGTTACAGAGCTACAAATGTATGAAGATCTTCTGTGGTGAATTCCTCTGTTGTCAAAAAGGTACATGAAGTACACAGCTTTTCTTTACCAGTTCTTTCCTGTAAAAATAGTGAAGTAACGTGTGTAGAGACCATGGTAACTAGTTTTTTTTTTTGTTTGTTTGTTTGTTTGTTTTTTGCTTGTTAACTGACTGTTGCATGAGATCACATATCACTAGTGTTTTCTCAATAGCATATAAAACATCCAGAGGTTTGGAGCAAGGCACTCATGCTAGAGAAACATGCTGTCTAAGTAACCTTGGAAAAAAGATTTAGCTCCTCACGTTTGTGTAATTGCATTTATAACTACTCTTTGGGGAGGTATTATTTATAAAAGCCTTCCTGAAAGTAATGCCTTGCAAGCATGTAAAGGATTAAGTAGATATCTGTTACCTTGTGCTTGAGGGAACAAAGAAAGCTGCAAGAAGGAGAACTTTTTTTCCCTTCTGGCCTGTGTTTTGCTTCATTCCACAGAGCACAGCGTGTGCAGCAGTGGCTGAGGCTGAGGAAGCAAAAGAAAAGCAGAAGTCTTGGGTGGGCTGGAAGACACTGCCTGCAGCACACCTTCTCTTTACACATATAGCAGTTATTTAAGAGGATGGCTCAGTGGAACGACACTTTAAATCTTTATACTAGGAGCTCATATCCCACTGAGAGGTGAATCAACCCTTATTTTCATTCTTCATGTGCTTTGAGGACAGTTTTACACAGTTTTATTGTGATATTTTCCACAACTTAATCCACAACAGAACCATAAACCTATCCTCTGATACTGTATCCAAAGCTTGTAGAATAGGCAGTGCAAGAGTAGTAATTTACCTGCATTTGCTAAGCATTTGCTCTTCCTTTAGATCCTTAAGTCAATTGACTGTCCTCTACATAAGCAATGTCAGTACTGTGATACTTTGTATATTAGTCATGTTGGGAACAAAGGGCCTTAAATACTGCACTTTCAACATGGTATATGGGAGAGGCTGTCTCCTAGGATACTAATTTAGTCTAATGACATTGAATAGTAATGTCCATGGCTTAACTGCCACAGCATTAGCATGAATTCTTCTAGTAACAAGTAGATTAATGGTGATTAGGCAGGGACTTTTAATATGGACAATCTTTTAATAAGTCACAAAGTGAAGATGAAAGAGATTTTTGTTGTTGTTCAAAAGGTCCTACATTGCTTTACTCTGCAGTGTTGGTCAAGGGCAACTGAGTTCATGGACTTCCCTGATACCTACCTTAATAATGCAACTAAGATACTGTAATTACATTATTTGATTTAATTAAGCTGTGAAGCTTCAAAGTCTGTATAATTTGTATATTATTATGATTTTTTCCTTTCTCACACCCAAATTTTTCCTGTAAAAACAAACAAAAAGAAAAAGAAAAAAACAACAACAACAATAAATTAAATGTATACGGAAGCTGCATTCATGGAACATTAAGTTTACATGGTGATCTACTTAAATGTAAAAAAATGTCAAAGTTAAGGATGAATGCACAACTGTAACGATATCCTCCTGTGTGTGTGGATTATAGCAGTCTTCGGTTACAGTCACACAAAACAATGCAAGTCAAATTCCAGGCAAATAGACTATGGAAGTCATCTGAATGAGTGTTTCTCCTAACCAAGACAAAGAGACAAAGAAAATAAGACTACTTGGCCCGTTAAAAAAAAAAAAAAAAAAAAAAAAAAAAAGAGAGAGAGAGAAAACTTGACTGTTCAGAGAATTCCACTGGGAGAATACAAATGATTGTGGCCTCATATCTTTGCTTCTATCTGTTGCTACTGATGAAGTAATGATATTTATGAGAAAAGTAGAGTTCATATTTTTTTACATCCTTATGTTTTTTATATAATGAATTATTATGGTATGTAGTAGTTGTTCATTATCTATGGCTTCTCCCCCTTTGTTCTGTACTGGAGAACTAGTCTGAACAGAACAAGAAATCTGATTAGTTGTCAATTTGAGGATGACAAAGAAATGTCCCTTTCTAAGGGGGTCTAGCAAGTGTATCTAATAGCTTCTTTTCCCTTTGTATAAAACCCTGCAAGCTCTGTTATATCTTAGTAAGGAACAACAGCAGATCCTTTTATTATTATTTTATTTTATCTTATTTTATTTTAATTATATATATTTTTTATTTATCTCATTTTATTTTACTTATTCTTTTTTTTTTATTTTGCAGATATTATTGCAATTTATAGTCACCGTACTGTGTGGATGAAAAGTTCAAAGGACCCAGCTCTTAACAGTGGATAACTTGGATGACTCAGGAGATCTTTCTTTGAATCTATTAAATGTCAAGAAAAAGACATCTTAAGTCTGCACAGTATGAAATATTTGAAGGGTACCCCACATGAAATCTCACTGTTTCCCAACCCTTTTGACATTTGGATCAGGATGCAGCAATGTCATGTCTTCAGATGATACTGCATACCAACACCAACTCAAAATATTGTCAGTATGAAAATCAACACTACTCTACAGTCCTGTTACCTTAGAAAAAGCATAAATATATCTAACCTTCTGTTTCTACATTATTTGAAAGGAAACAAAATGAAGTGTTTGGGAATGGCAAGAATATTGGTTCTTCAGTAAAATTAACAGGGATTCAAACCTTTCACCAAAAATCAATTCCTTTATTATTCTTGTGTATACATGGATCAAGAAAACTAAATTATAATATTATTCTGTGGAAGAATCTCATGGAGCTGGCAAAATCTAAGAGTGATCAAATAAGTGGTTCTGAATATAGTTAAAAGTTAAGGTGGTCTTGCAGCACCAGGCACTCTAGCAAATTGTGTGAAAGTATGCCAAAGTTACAGGAACATATTTTCTCCTGGAGAATGGAGGTAGTTAATTCTGGTCATAGCAGTTTTGATGACTATAATAAGATCTTTCTGATTTATTGATTTTAGAAAAAATGCAAATCAGGAAATAAATGTGCATTTTTATTGTCCTTGAGTTGGAAAATGTTTTTCTCTAGGTCTAACTTTCAAATACAGTGTAACAGAATTTTTTTGTATCAGCTCTCCAAAGGGGGTGCAGCACTGAAGGCACAGCGGCATCTGTTGCTAGAAACCCATCATTTCCTCAGTCTCAGAGAGAATGTACATGGCCTTCTTTGAACCAAACCTTACAAAACTTCAGGTAGCATTAAGTTCTAAAGCACTTTACTGACTCAGAATTTAAGCACAGTTCTCAGAGGAGCTAAAATAACACTCAGATCACATCATCAGTGACACAGGGTCAGGTGTAGACTGTTGTTGGAAATCTCTGTGTCAGCAACCCCTTGCTTTACTATTAAAGGTATAGATGAGAGAAAGGAAAGCTCAGATGAGGATCTATTTTACTTGTTTAACTCTTACATCTGTTTGGTATGTTAAGTTAGCTGGTGAGTGGGACTATCCTGACACAGCTCTTCCTTCGTAGCATTTTCAAGAAATATATTTATCAGACCGTGGCAGGCTCCACTGCTTCACGAACTAGAGGACAGGGAATAATCTCTGAAGCCCTGTGGCAGAGCAAGGAAAATGCACTGAACAACTAGCAAAAAGGTCTCCTGACCTTCTAAACAGAATAATTAAAATGAAAAATATAGAAGTAAACCTTGAAGACACAAATATGATTCCACCTGGAAGAAAAGGTGTTTATAAAATACTGTTTTACCAAAAGGTATTCATAAGATACTGTAAATTCTATTTACTTATAAGAAAACAGCATTGTGAAGAGCACTAGAAGGAAAGCCTAAGAAGGCTAGGAGAAAAAAATTATAGCCAGGGTGTATACTTTTATGGAAAAGTTTCTATATTTTACAATAATGTTTCAAGACTGTCATTTTTCTGAAGATAACTTCACAGCTCTGGGAAATGCATGTCACAATATGTTGCTTTTTCTGCTCAGCCTCTGTTACTTCTGTTTGTCAATACCCAAATAAATCCAGTTTCAGCGTCTGGCTTTAAGATAGACATTAAGTTGGAGAATAGGAAAATAAATAAATAAATTAATTAATTAATATTTAATTAATGAATTAATTAATTAATTTAATAAATAATTAAAAAAAAAGCACAGCCACACAGCCACAGAAATAGGTAATCTGTGAACGACAAATTAACCCCTAAACACTTTCCAGTTTATCCCCACTAGTGAGAACAAAAATGTTTCCTATCTGTAGTCTTTAATCTATTCACTGTATGTTAATTTTGGAAAGGATAATACAGATTATGTAGCAAAGCTCTTCATACTTCATCTTTACAACCATCTTCATATTTCATCTTTACAACCATCTTCACACTTCATCTTTACAAACATCTTTACAACCTCATCCTATTTTATACACATAAGTGGCTTTCTCTAAACTTTAGATAACTCCATTTGCAAAGAGAAGTCAACATCCATTAATTTGAAAAATCCTCAAAGATCACTCCATTCATAGGTTTCTTTTAAACTTTTTTTTTTGACTAGTTAACAAATAATTTCCTTCTTTCCTCAACACATGATATTAGCATCATCAACATGAAAACTGATCATTTTAATTCAATTATGATACCTGTTTAATTAGGAGCTATAAAGAAGTTTCCACAATGCCTGTCCACAAAGACTGCTTGCAGAAAGAGAAAATACTTCAATATCAGTTCTTGCAGTGAGAACATATTTTGACCTCAAAGGTCATGGCTCTTCTCATATTCTTTACTGTTTTAAATATGTTAAATAAGCATTTTCACTTAATTCTCATGCTTGATCATTGCTTCAGATTTGTAAGAGAACTTTAACAAATTTATTTCATATTCCATGAAGGCTTGGGTCAAGTTTTTGAGATCTAACATGTCTGAGGAATAAGTACATGTAACTACCAAGCATCTAGTAGACAGATTATTGATGTCCATAGAAAGTTCCTTTATAGCTAATGCACCTTATCATGAATTTAATCACTTTATCATGAAGTTTAATGAGTATTTTCTGTTGTATGATGGTTTGGTTCTTTAGCATGTGAGATTTGGAGAGATAAATGGCAAAGTGCTTTTTTTTGTTGTTTTTGTTTTTGTTTTGTTTTGTTGCTTTGTTTATTTGTTTGTTTAACCACTCCTGTGAGAGAAACAAAATTTTAAAAGTATATGAGGTGTGAAGTACAATTTCAGTGCTCTGTATTAATTTTTGGTTTTCATCTACATAGGCAGTTTTGATTGTGTGAAACTACATAAGGCCTTCTGTGACAAGTGATAACTACTGCAAGTGTTTTTTATTTTAAATATTTAAGCTAAAACATTTGAAATCTGATAAAGACAAACTTCATACAAAGGGAAACAAAAATCAAAATTAAAAAAAAATATAAAATCAGAGAATATCAAACTTTAAAGTTCAGGAAAAAAAAAAAAAAAAAGTAAAATATGGAGTCAAACCCTTTTCTTTTATCCAGTACATTTCCAACTTCAAATCTCAGAGATCTCTAGAAAGTAGGAAGAGACGGTCAGCATCCTACCTTCCTCTAAGTTGTTTCTTT